ATAATAATAATAATAATAATAATAATAATAATAATATTTTTAATTAGTAACATTAGTTCCTGGAACAAAATTAATGATGTTGACGGTAATAACCGATATGATCATGTTAAGAATCATAAGAACAATTATACATAATAATAATAATAATGTAATAATGAAATATAAATAAAAACAAAATTACTAAACAATAATGTTAGCAGGGAGATGTAAACATTTTTGTTATTTTTTACATCTCCGTGATGATAGTAGTAGTAGTAGTAATAATAATAAATAAATAATAATAATAATAATAATAATAATAATAATATTAATATCATTTATAATAGCAATAATAGAGAAGGTTTTGTTAGAGCTTACAGTTGTATTTCCAAATACCAGTAAAATAATGTATTTAACTACTTTTTTGTACTAATCTATTTATTATAAAATCGCAAAAAAAAGAACAAAAAATATATTAAAATAATTAAGATATAAACTACTTTATCATTGTGTTTGACTATATCAAGTTTGGCTATAATCAAGTATGTTAAAAGAATGAACAACAATCACAAAATAAATTGAAAACAATGGTGGTATAAAGCAGTTTAGCACTGTGTTTAACTATATCCATTTTGGCTAGAGTTAAGCATGTTAAAGAAAGTATAACAAAGTAATAATAATTATAATAATATAATAATAATAATAAATAATAATAATAATAATAAAATTTAAATCAATTGTGGTATAAATCAGTTTAGCACTGGGTTTGACTATATCCAATTTGGCTAGAGTTAAGCATTAAAAAATGAGCAACAATCACAAAAACCCCCATAAAAACAATTGTGGTAAAAACCAGTTTAGAACTGTGTTTGACTATATCCATTTTGGCTAGAGTCAAGCATGTTCAAAATGAGTAACAAAATCCCCCTCCCCTCTCCCAAAAAAATTCATTGTGGTAGAAAGCAGTTTAGCACTGTGTTTGACTATATCCATTTTGGCTAGAGTCAACCATGTTAAAGACTGAGTAACCAAATCCCCCTTCCCTTTCGCAAAAAAAAAAAAAATTGTGGTAGAAAGCAGTTTAGCACTGTGTTTGACTATATCCATTTTGGCTAGAGTCAACCATGTTAAAGAATGAGTAACAAAATTCCCCCTCCCCTTTCCCAAAAAAATTAATTGTGGTAGAAAGCAGTTTAGCACTGTGTTTGACTATATCCATTTTGGCTAGAGTCAAATCATGTTAAAGAATGAGGAACAAAATCCCCCCTCCCCTCTCCTAAAAAAAAATGATTGTGGTAGAAAGCAGTTTAGCACTGTGTTTGACTATATCCATTTTGGCTAGAGTCAACCATGTTAAAGAATGAGTAACAAAATCCCCCCTCCCCTCTCCCAAAAAAATTAATTGTGGTAGAAAGCAGTTTAACACTGTGTTTGACTATATCCATTTTGGCTAGATTCAAGCATGTTAAAGAATGAGTAACAAAATCCCCCTCCCCTCTCGCGAAAAAAAAAAATTGTGGTAGAAAGCAGTTTAACACTGTGTTTGACTATATCCATTTTGACTAGAGTCAAGCATGTTAAATAATGAGTAACAAAATCTCCCTTTCCTCTCCCAAATTAAAAAAATGGTGGTTAAAAGCAGTTTAGCACTGTGTTTGACTATATCCATTTTGGCTAGAGTCAAGCATGTTAAATAATGAGTAACAAAATGCCCCTCCCCCTCCCAAAAAAAATTATTATTGTGGTAGAAACAATTGTGGTATAAAATACTTTAGCACTCTGTCAGACTATATACATTTTGCACGCACGTATTTACTCGATTTTTGGAGTATCTGTGCTCTCCGCCGGAACTCCGATTTCTGAGAGCTGAACAAAAGTTTAGACCTCCCTAATTTTGGAGTTTTCGTGTGCAGTACGCAAAACCTATGAAATCGGAGGGTTTATTAACAGTTTTTCTCTCTATATATAGAAAGAGCCTGTTTAATAATTAAATAGTACGCACAAACTCTGAAATCGGAGGTTTGAAGTTTAAAAACTGCGATTTTAGAGTTTTCGCGTAGGCCTATGTATGCAAAACCTCCGAGATCGAAAAAAAAAATCAATTTTTCGCTCATATTACGCAAAGCCTTCGAAATCAGAGCGTTGAATAACAGATTTAAACTTCGATTTTTGAGCTTTTGCGTAGGCCTACGCAAAACCTTCGAAATAACCTTCGAGTTGGTTGACTAAAAGTATTGCTCTATACAAAGAAAGCTTGTTTAATTATTAAAAATGGTACAAAGAGTCTTCGAAATCGGAGGTTTGATTGAACGTTTGAAAACTCTGATTTTGGAGTTTTCGCGTATGCCTATAGTATAGGCATACACAGAACCTCAAAATTCGGAGGTTTTTGGCGGCGGGCGCAGATATATTTGGATTTCGGAGTAACTAACTCCTCCTCTATCAAGCATTAAAGAATGAGTAACAAAATCACAAAACAGCATTAAAAACAATAGTATGGAGCAGTTTAGCACTGTGTTAGACCATATCCTTATTGGCTATTGTCGAGCATATAAAGAATGAGTAACAAAATCACACAAAAAAAATAGCAAGTGTTGTGTATAAAACAGTTTAGCAGTGAGGTTGACTATATCCATGTTCACCCAGGTTGTCTTTAAATCACTTTTATGTTTAAAAAATGTATTTTGACAATGTTGAGTTTTAGTAGATTATATTCAAAGATTGTTTTAAACTTTTTTCGAAAGCGGCAAAGGGACAATGCAGAAATTTAGCATAGGCCTATAGTTTTATTTGCCGTATATGGAATCGATTAATGTTAGTGATAAAAAACATTCTATAAATACTGCTATCCCCCCACAACAGTCTTTGTGATTTTTATGATTGAACACAAAATAATAATTAGGAAGTTGGACGAGAGGGAGGGGTGGTTTGTCTTAATTTGAGCCACGTTTTACACTCCAATATAATATGAAAAGGTAAATTAAGTGGTGTTACAAGCTTCTTCATAATATGATCGAGATTTTTTAAATGCATCCGATGTCGAAATGGATAGTGGAAAGCCAGTCAGTCAAATTATGAATAGGGAGCTCATTTGGATCATGATATTGGAAAATGCTTTTGGTATTGGAAGAAAATTTGGAATTAGGGTCGATTAGAAGTAAATTCATTAAGAGTATTCAGAAAGGGAGAGAAACATAAGTTGGATAATTGGTAAAAATTTGAAGTGCTGTTTCATGAACTACAATCCAAATTGAACATAACACACAAGTTATATAAAAATAAAAGTTTCCCATTTGCCTTTTATGCATATATAATTAATTTTAACATATGGATAGTTATATAGGCATATCAGTGTTAAACCTGTCTCTTATACACATCTAGATGTGTATAAGAGACATATATACATTTTATATACATTATACCGGTATATATATATGTACACTTTTATTTTTCGTGTGTAAGTCTCTTAATTGTTCTTCTCTCCACAGTACATTAATGACCTCCTAAAATTGCGATCAACTATATATGCAGGCGAATACGTAGATCCACATGTGATGTAGTTGAATCATTGTAGATTTTCCTTCTGGTCGGTTGAAAACCTATGGTGATAAATCCTTCTCTGTTGCTGCATCAAAGTTGTGGAATAAATTCTCTAAATTTGTAAGGTGTTTTCTACCTCTTGTCTGGCGAAAATCACATTTTTTTCTCACAATTCTAATCTGTTTTGTTTTTGTTTTTAGTCTGTTTGCTTTCGTTAATTCTTGTCTTTGACACTGGATATAAAGGCCTATAGAGATATTGTGTAGTATGCACTATATAAATGCAAGACCATGACCAAGGTGCGCGAATATAATGTGTGCGCGCGTCACACAGAGGTTACAGAATGTTAAAAATATGTGTTTTCTTTTTACCAACGTATCCCTGCTGATACGACACGTCTCTCAACGTTTGTATATTTCGTTATACCTCGTACAACGAACGATTTCGGAGGTTTTTCACTCAATTGCTATACCTTTAAACTTTGAAATAATCAATCTTATCTTATATCTTAATCATTTTATACGTGCACTCAATGGAGGTACTTGTTTGTCCAACTGTCACTTTTCTGTACTGTACGTTCTTTTTTGTCCTCATAGTCAAACACAGTGCTAAACTGCTTTTAACCACCATTTTTTTTATTTGAGAGAGGGGAGGGAGATTTTCTTACTCACTCTTTAACATGGTTGAGTCTAGCCAAAATGGATATAGTCAAACCATGGAGAAAATAATTTTACTTTCTCCATGGTCAAACACAGTGCTAAACTGCTTTTAACCACCTTTTTTTTTATTTGGGAGTGGGGAGGGGGATTTCGTTACTCATTATTTAACATGCTTGACTCTAGCCAAAATGGATATAGTCAAACACAGTGCTAAACTGCTTTCTACCACAATTATTTTTTTGTTGGGAGAGGGGAGGGGGATTTTGTTACTCATTATTTAACATGGTTGACTCTAGCCAAAATGGATATAGTCAAACACAGTGCTAAAC